CCAGCTACTCGGGAGGCTGAGGCAGGAGAATCATTTGAACCCAGGAGGCAGAGGTTGCAGTGAGCCGAGATTGCGCCAGTGCACTCTAGCCTGGACGACAGACAAAATGAGACTCCATCTCAAAAAGAAAAAAAAAAAACAAATAAAAATTTAGACAGGCATAGTGGCATGCACCAGTAGTCCCAGCTACTCAGGAGGCTGAGGTGGGAGGATCGCTTGTGCCTAGGAAGTCGAGGCTGCAGCGATTCCCTATCATGATTGCACCACTTCACTCCAGCCTGGGTGACAGAGCGAGACCCAGACTCTAAAGAAAAAATAATTCAGACAGAAAAGTAAACCCAAAGAACATTATCAACTTGGGTGGAGGGGGTGGCCTTGGCCCCCAGAGTGGGAGATGCCACCAGGCTCACCCATCCCTGTCCCTCCCCATGGCCAGCCCCTGAATCCCCGGCCTGGCACATGGATGGTCACCAGAGGAGAGGGGACGGGGAGCGGTGGAGTGGCAGGAGCCCCGTCTGTCCCTCTCGGTCCCTCCTCGTCCCTGCCACCCTGCCCTGGCCCCTCTTTGAGTGTTTAACACTATGAGCCAGAGATGGGACATACCGGACAGGCGAGGGCACAGGAGGAAGCTGAGCACCACGGCAGAGGCCACCAGGTGTGCAGCTCGGAAACCTGCCCGTCGGCTCCCGGGTGCCACTCGCACAGGCTGAGGCATGGTTGATACTCCCCTTGGGGCCGGCCTTCCCAGGGCTGCCAGGAAGAGGGGTGGGCTGGGAGCTAGGTCCTCCTACCTAGGGCTACTGCGGGCAGATACCGGCCATCAGCCACCCCCAAGGGCCCAGTCCAGCACTGCCAGCAGCAGTGTCAGGGGCTCAGCCCCCAGCACAGAGACACTATCCTTCTGCTGGAGACAAGGTCCCCACCCAGCTGCCCTAGCTGGGGTCTACAGCGGCTCCACAGCCATGACCCTAATGGGTGAGGAACCTTGGAATCAAGCTTCTCCTCTCATCTCTCCCTTCCCACACCCCCAAATACCGGGAGCTCCTAATGAGCAGTGCCCCAGGCCCAGCAGAATGGCTCACACCTGTAATCCCAGCACTTTGGGAGGCCGAGGTGGGAGGATCACTGGAGTCCAGGAGTTTGAGACCAACCTGGGGAACACAGTGAGTCCCCACCTCTACAAAAACATAAAAAATTAGCCAGGAGGAAGGTGGGAATCCACCCGTCCCAGAAGCAGAAGAAAGGAACCCAGAGAGGGGCACAGTCATGCCGGCCCAGACGCCTGCAGGACCGAGTGTATGCAGGGACAGCTGAGCAGCCCGGCACCGGGAGGGGCATGTCGACGAGGGCGGCTGGACATGGGCCTCCAGGCCCACCTGGACCTCCAACATCAGTGTCGCTCCTGTATCAAAGGAGAACCTGAGCTCACAAGGCACCCCTTAGTCAGGACTGAAAGGGGCCCTGCCTGGGGACCTCACGGGGAAACTGAGGCCCAGAAGGGCAGTGACAGGTCTCGGGCAGGACTGGGACAACAGAGGGCCACTCCAGAGTCCCACAGCTGTGCTGAGAAATCGGGTCATGAGCTCAAGCTTCCTTCTCCCAGGGGAGACAGCCGTTCCAGCTTACAGAATCCCGGAGGCTCAGCCACCTGAAGGGGCCACCCTCACGTCCCCTGGCTCCTCCTGGAGTCTGGGACAAATTTTGAGCACAGGGCACTCCCGGTACCCCCAGAAGAGGCGGGCACTGAGCGTGCAGCCTGGGCTCAGCCCCAAGTCCTCTGTGCCCCCGACTGTCCCGGCTGTCACTGAGAATGGTCTCAGGGGCTTCCATCCTGGGCGCCACCTGCCACCGAAGCCAGTCTACTCGCCAGCCCCCTCTCAGAGCACCTGCCCCCCTCAGGGCCTCAAGGGCCACAGCCCCAGGCTGCTCCCTGCAAATGTGGTTGGCCTCTGAAGAGATATAGTGAGCCCTCTGTCCCCTACCCCTGCCAGGCTCCTGCTCTACCCTCCTCACTCTGTCGCCCCCCCCATCTGCTCTAATCCTGGTCCCATCTGTCACCCCATGGGGCCAAGTGGGGACCTGGCTGGCCTCTCAAGGGTGCCCCACCCTCTCTGCACATGTCACACTCGTCCCTTCCTCACCTCTGGGTCACACACACACCATTCCCACCACCTGGACCTCCAGCATTAGAGCTCAGCTTCAAGTGCCACCACCTCCAGGAAGCCCCCCCGACCACCTCTGCTCCATCACGCTTCTCTTGATTCCACACAGCTATTCTGCTTATTGAACACTATCTGTGTTCTAAAGGCTGCAGTTTGAGCCATGACAGAACCACTGAACTCCAACCTGGGCGACGGAGTGAGACCTTGTCTCCAAAAAAAGAAAAAAAGAGAGAAAGAATAGAAAAAAAGAAGGAAAGAAAGAAGGAAAGACTGAAAGAAAGAGAAGTAAACTCAGGTCAGGCATGGTGGTTCACGCCTGGAATCCCAGCACTTTGAGAGGCC